TAGGAGATTTTAAAATTAATTATCTCAGAGCAGACAAAGGAAAAAACCCCTTAGATCTCTCCCTTTCTGTTAAGGCGGTGCTCTGGCATTCAGCAGGGAGGCAGCCGTAAGGACCAGGCATAGCTGGAGCTGGTGCTGCATGAGGCAGCCACCGGATGGCACGGAGCCTCCTCCAGACAGGGGCTGTGGGGCTTGGGCGCTGTGGAACCCCCCAGGGTAGCTAAAACCGGGGCTTAAAAGAAGAGGGAAACACCCCCCACCCCACCCCCACTGAGTGTGGTGAAATATTTTGCCACTGAAAAGAGGAACTTAATATAAGTCACACTGTGAGGACACATCTTGCCAGTTAGCTTCAGGTGCTGTGGCGCTCTGGCTGCTGGCATCTGATTTCCCCTGTTACCAGTTCATGAAGCACAGACTGAGTCTGAAGGGTTTTTGCTTCACTAGGCACAATGTTATTAAAGATTTATCAACAGCAACATGGCAGAAAGCTTTTCCTTGAGACTGCAGTGTATAGTAGCCTGTGCTCCAAAATAGAAAGGGCAGGTCAGGATTTACCTGAAATGCTCCTTTATGCCAAAGCAGCTACACTGAATTAAACAGAGCGATGCTGCTGCATACCTTTCTCATCTCCAGCCCTTCTTTGCATTTTGCATTTATAACGTCCCTATGAAGTGGACGACTTGAAGCTACAATGAAAATTACCACCTCCCCCAAATCCTACAGTTTTATAGTTTAATCAAGCTGTTTTTTCACTCACATCAAACCCTTGGTGATATCCATGGAGAAAAGCTCTGCACCAGTCCCTTCTCCAAGCCCAAGACCTCTACTGCAGTGGCAGAGGGTCAGGGCACCATGTGCCTGCTGAGCACAGATGCAAGCACAGCCTCCCACTAATAAAGCTGCTCCTGTCCCTCTTCCCCTGAAGAGCCACACACCAGCCTGTAGGAAAGGGGGAGAGATTCATTCCAACTCATCAGGCAGAGACGCTCCAAGGGAGGGCAAAGGATGACGAGGATCTCTCTTGCTGATCAAGAGTTACCTCAACAAGAAATCATACTCCATTGACACTGACAACCCAGCTACTGTTTAGCAGCATTTCACATGCTATGGGAAGGTTCCAAGTCTCTGGGGTTCCTCTTGGCCCCCAAGGAAATTGTTGCAGAAGGTGATGCAATCCAGGCTGCAGGCCAGTGGCTCCCCCTGAAGCTGCTTCTGCTGCAGCAACACGTTGCTTTGGTAGGATCCTTAACACTGCCCATAGTAGCACCTGGGCCATCAGATCCCTCTTCAAAGTTTACCCCAAAGGCCAGTAGCAGACTTGTCTGCATGTTTTTCTTACCTGAAGGCCCATTTTGGGTCGTCAAAGTAGCTCTTAAAATCAATCTTGTGTCAGAGTCACTTTCTACCAAGAAGAGGGCAGGCCACCACGTGTGTCTTGATGGGCAATGATTCATTGCACTGCCAAAGTCAAGGCTTAACCAAATGAAAACATTATCAGTAGATGAAAACATTAAAAGTCTTGTCACAAATACCCAAAACAAAAATTTAACCATCAGAGCAGGGAGACAAGGAGGGAGTCAGTCAGCAGACAGCAGCCACAGGAGACCAACATGTTGAGGGGCACCTCTCGAAGGAAGCACAAAGCATTAACTACAAGAAAAAGAGCAGCATTTTTTTTCTCAGTACAGATTTTATTTCAATTTAATTGCCAGCTTCACCCCATTAAAAAACAAATTCCATTAATTTCTACAGGATCCATGAAGATGTATGTTAGAAGAAATTATTACAAAACACAGGACCTGTGAAGTACATCAAACTGCATTTCTTAGTGTAACAGCAACACTGGTTACAGTGCTACAGCACAGCATCTCTCCGGAGTAACATCTGTGTATACAGAACAGCAGTGAAAAGCATCCACAACTGCGAATTTTGACGAAATATGTTTTCAATTTATTACAGTATGAGAAACAAAAAATTACAAGTGAGAGAAACAAAAAGAGTAACTTTGCCTTGGCAGATTTAAAAACTACAGCCAGCAGCTATGAAGTAGCCCAGTATGTCCCAGAATGAATCATCACTTTATTTGCGCTCTGGCTTGCAGGCACATCATACTTCACTGAAGTACTTTAAATAGCAGTCTGTCTTTAAATGGAATAGTGCAAATTCATTGTATGATCTGTCCCTTTGCTTCCCAGGGCTCTCTGCAAGAAGGCAGGCAGCCCTGCACTCTGCCTCAAGTGCTTACATGGCTCGGGGCAGTCACCTGCGTGATGTGCTGCTGGTTATCACACCAGCTAACTCCTGTCCTCAAACGTAAACAGCCCCAGCATTACCAAGACCGTCAGAGGCAGTTCAGCTTTAAGTCAAAAAGCCCATTCATAAGAAAAAACACATGGACGGAAGATGATTTTTGGCTAGGTATCAGGAGCCCTGCAGGCTGAAGAGTGTGACGCTCACCTCCCTTTCCTTCCCCTGGGGATTTATGCACAAGTCTGGGAGCAGCAGGGGGACGGTCCCTGGTGGGAGCTGCAAGTCCATGTGCAAGGCACTTGCTGCAGAGCACAGACTAAACTGTCAGGGCAGCCAACTTCTCGATAATCTGCGCCCTCCCACCCTCCAGAGACCAGAGCCTCTCCTTGCTCATCTCTTTCCCAAGAGCCCCATCCAGCTCCAGGAGAGCATCACCCATGCAACAGCCATTTGGCTCCTCAGCCCACGGTGCTGCTTATGCTGTAGGGAAAAGCAAACGTTTTACTTTTTCAGTGAGAGTTGCACAAGGCAGGAGAGGGTATGTTGAAAATATGGCTGCTTTTTATTAGCTCCTGTACATTTACTGTCTGCATTCACAAGAATGGCCTCTCTCCTCCGCACATGTAACCACCTGCTGAATTTCACAGTTAGGACAACTTCCCTGCACATAAAGTAAAGCACGTTCCTAAATACCAGTTCAGTTTCAGCAGCAAATGCTGAGCTATTCTTGACTTGACAGGGAAGCTGGAATTCTGCACCTAGATAGGCTCATCCAAGACCACCCTACACAATTTATTTCCCAGTAACAGTGCTTGCCTAGAAGGACCTGACTCCCATAGAGGTACATACAGGCTTCCTCTGGGAACTGAAGCCAGAATTACCACTTCAAGCTGCTGTCTGCATGTGCTGCAGAGAAGTGTATTAAACCTCAGTATTTGCTCTGGAAGGAAAAATCTTTAAAAAAAAAAAAAAAAGAATGTCTCCCAAATTATGCACATGCCAATTTTATAGCTGCATCATGTTTACTTTTTAAATTAAAAACTAGCACTTATAAAAGAACAGATTATTTTCTATTCTTTGCTGTCAGGTCCTTTAACTAACAACACTGGGATGAACTAAGACTCATCTTTCTTCTCTCCTCCTAGTCCTAACCCTGGGGATAGCTCATCCTGGATTTAATTTTTCTTCCCCTGAGAGGCATCATCATCTCAAGCAACCTCAGAAGGGAAAGAAATATAGCCATAGCCTTTAGTAAGCTTCCCTATTCCCTGCGGTTATCAAGGCTCAAGAAAACCCCTTGGTTTAAGGAAGTGGGAGGACTACATCCTCCCACACAGCCAGCATGCTCCTGGGGCAGTTTTATCAACTGAAGAGGGCTCCTGGCACTCCAAGGCATCCTTGAACCAGTCAGTAAAGCAGATTCTCACCTTCAGATTAAATAAGGCACTGGCAATGTCTGTAGATTTTAGTAACAGCTCACAACTTGCCACCTGTTATTCAAAGGGTAACACGGTGGATAATCTAAAGAGAAAGAATCTGCCTGGCAGCAATAAGGCCTCTGCTTCTGCTTTAAAACAAGATGTGACTGTTGTGATTACTTTGAATAATGTTTTTTTCTGGGTAAAATGGAATATCATTCATCTAATGAGGTTTCAAAGTTGGCTTCAAAGCAAAGATTTAAAACCCCTTTAGATTTCAGATATATTTTTTCTAGTCCATTAAAAAGGGGATGATACAGGAGGTAAGCAGCAGCGGGGAAAGGAACATTTTATTTCAAATGTTATAAATTAGAGCTGATTTGCTGGAGAAAAAAAAAAACAAACACCACAAAACAAAACTGTTGTCACCTTAAACAGAAGTCAAGGCAGAGACAAAAACAACAGAATATAATTAAAGCACTTCCCAAGATGGAAGGCAGCACAACAGCAGATCGTTGTGTAACAAGGGCAGCAGAGTCTCACGATTAGCCAATTTTGTAGGAAACGCACTCAGCTGCGTCACCATTTTCTCCCTAATAAAAGTCCCCGTGGAGATTAGACTGAAGAGACGCAAGAGCTGGTGGGGTGGACGCAGGGGGAAACAAGTCTAAATAAACTGCTCTGCTGGGTGTTATTTTGTTCGCATGGCATTTGTCTCATTCCACGTTTTACACTGCAGCAATCAGGCTTTTAATATCCCTCCGCCCACTGCTGATCTTGGGGTATGTCTGTCTGTCTCCAAAGACAACTCTTGTGTTGAGCACCGCACAGTTACACCAGGGAGCTATCTGAGCAATGCTGGCTCTGCAGGCAAATTTGCTACTGCAGCTGGGTAAAAATAGCCAAGCCAGCTTTAACCTGGCTGGTAGAGGCACTGTTCACAGTGTAAACCCAGCACCTGGGAGCTGGGCTTCCCAGAGCCAGAGTAAATACTGAACCAAACAGCTTGTGCTGACTTACAGCGTAGCTACAGTGATATCCCTGTAGCTCGTCCGGTTCCACCCCGGTGTTCCAAGATGAGCTGTGCTCACACCAGTGATGGCCACAAAGAGGTGCCATCTGTTCCCGAGATGTGACCTAACAAAGACTGTGGCTACCTCTGCATGGGGTTGGCTTGTGTTCCGACCACACTCCAATGCTTTAGGTAAAACCATTTTATCAGAAGAGTAAAATCAGAGTCCTCTGGGCCCTTTTTTTCATCTCTCAAGACATTTCTCACAAACGCTCTTTGGGTCTTTTATTTGAAAATTTGGCTCTACACCCAAACCCCTCCTCTGAACTGTATCCTTGCTACTGCATCAGGTGCATGTTGTCCTGGAAGGAAATACTGTTATTACAAGATGATTTTCTTTGGAGAAGATGGTGACATTTATATATTATATTTATATGAATAAAGTTTAAAGCTGGAAGACAATTTTCAGTCTGATTATTGTGAGAAAACCAACTCCAAATGACTGAAAATTTCACATGGGATCCTGTAGTGCATGGTAACTTGTAATGTAGCTGCAGTTTTTATTCAGGTGACATTTGATCTGATCTGGAAATCTCTTCATTCAGTCAGTCAGTGAATGAAGAGCCACAAACCATCTTTCTCATCAAGTACAGAGACATGGTCTCCCCGAGCTCCTTATGTTCTTGAGCAGCTAACTGACAAACTATCCACCAAAGCCATCATTTCTCAGAGACAGCCCAGAACTACTGCCACTTGTACCGAGCTAGGCAGGAGCAAGTGAAGAAACCCCAAGCTGCTTCACCTGTAGCGCTGGCTCCTTGCATCTCCCTCATGAATTTTAGTCTTACGATGGTTTCTGCAAGTCTTTCAGGTTTCAACCCACATAAGAAAAACATAAGATCATCAAATGACATTATGAACCTCAGACTCTTTAAGTATATATGTTTCTGGCCATAAAGAAATCCGCATATCATGGCACTCAAGTCCCTGCAAAGTATCTTGGATTACTTCAGTTCTTTAGATAGACAGACTGCAAAACACTTCACTGAAAAAGGAAAAGCTAAATAAACCTGAAAAAACTTCTTGATAGTTTGAAGTGCTACAGAACAGACATTCCAGTCCCTGGGACCCTCCACAGGCTGGGAACCAGTCTGCACCAGCTCCAGCACATTCAAACCACGGCCAACAGCTGAGTGTGAACACTAACAAGGCAGGCTGGGATGAGGCAGGAACAGGAGATTAGAAAACACGGCAAGTACTGGGCATACACAGAGGTAACTGGCACTGATAAACTTTGTAGGTGCCAGCACCAACCTGAGCTCAGGCAGTAAATACAAAGGATCTAGACAAAATAGACAATCCTGAGTTGGAGATCCACTTCTTAGTAAGGCTTCGAGTGCATGTGGGTTTTTAAGTGCTTTTCTTAAATTAATTATCACAAAAGACAAGCTAGCATTCTTTAAACAGTTGTGATCCTTCATTTCAGTATAAAACACATACACAAACATGGCTTAAGACCCATGATTACTTAGGATATAATTTTAAAGTTTGTATTAAAAATATTTTTTCTCAAAATGATAAATATTTTAAAATAAGCATTTATAAAAATAAATGGTCCATTCCCATAAGGAAGGACATACATAGCTGAAATTCTGAATACATCTTGAGGCAACACAATTATTGATGAAGCTAGTTAATAAAATCTTTGGTATGAGAGTATAGTACATTAATATTCATGCACCGTTGTCTTCCCTTGGCAGGTATACTGTACAGACAAGTGGAGAGGCAGCTTTTCCTTAATTTCTGGAAACATCTTCCAAATACAACATACAAATATTTCTAACGTGTCTTCCTATGATAATAGGAGAGAAGCCCAAGATTCTCCTGGCTCTTCCTATGACTTTCGTATCTACAACAGAATGAAGATGGGAGGAAAAAGAGAAAGCGAACACTGTTAAGTTTCATTCTAGCTAGCATCTACAGAAAATCAAAACAAAATTTAAAAAGTTTCTTTACAGGAAAGCCCATTTTCTTCAGTATTGTATATATCAACTGTCAAGACAAGATAATGACAAATCTGTTAAGATTCATCACTGCAAGTTCAGACACACAAAGAGGAGATTACTGAGTTAGGTAAGGGGGCAGCCTTACATCTGGGCACAGCACCAGATAGTGCAAGCCTGCAGCACTACATCCAGGTCTGGTGGCCCTGTTACACATAGGGCATTGAGCTACAGCAAAGGTACAGGAAAGAGCCTCAAAAACTGGAAAAAAGAGTCTTGGAACAAAAGACTTGGAGAGATTAGTTGGTAATTTTAGCAAAAATAAAGATGGAGAGCTGACTTGAGGCACAAGGACATCCATGGGGAGAAAATATGAAATGTCAGCTGGCACAGAAACAAGGGGCTAAGGGGTTCTGCAATCTGGTAGATAAAGGCTTAACAAAAATGATAGACTGGAGCTGAAACCAGTTCAAACAGAGAATAAAACTCACACTTCTAACGCTATGGACAATTAACTAGAATCAAGGGAACTGATGGATTCTCTGTTTTTTCAGTATCAGTCCATGAATGCTTTTGTGAAAATGCTTCCATTAAATGCTGGTGACTGAACCTAATGAAGGAAAGTGATGGCAGCTAAGGAAACATGGGTTAGCCCCAAAGTTCTAATGGTTCCCTTTTAGCCTTAAACCCTGACTCCATGGTAACACAGCCCAGACTCCCCCATCACCTGAAATATCCATGAACTGGTGCTACTGTAGCCTACAGCTCTGGGAAAAAAACAGTAAAGAACAATGTTCAACTGTGTCTACTGTGACCAGGGTATGCGGAGCAGAAGGCACTAAACCAACATGGAGTTTCAATTCTGCTCCCCATCCCCTGTGTGAAGACTGGCCCTTCCCACAGCACCAGCACTGTGTGAAGACTTGAAAGAAAGTGACACCTCTGAATCAGCTACTCTCTCCCCCTGGACCTCTCCCACTAGCAGTGACTCACTGCTTTGCTGAAGTTGATTCATGGGGACACATCAACACACTTTCTGCTAAGAGCTGCTGCTCTCACAGTAGCGTTGGGTGAGTGGAAGGGAGGGTGGTGAAGAGGAGCAGGAGCTCTGCTCTGCTGGCTGCCATGAAGCAGACAACTTTCAGGTGACAGAGCTAACACACAGAGCCAGCAACAGAGGCAATGCTTGTAGCTGCTTGGGCTCAGCAAACTGAGCCAGTGTCCTCTGGCCCTGGCACTGGTCATGCTTCACCCAGCTCCCAATGGACGCAGAAGCCAGAAGGTTTGGATATGTCTCATGACTGCTGGGAATCATGACCCACTGCTATAGCAACAGGAGCTCACATGACTACTGTCTTTAAAAAGAGCCCCTATTTGTGGCATCATCTGTAGGCAAACTATCCATTATTTATACATTATCATGTCTAAAGTGCAATTCCTATCCTAGCCTCATTAATGAATGATGACACCTTGACCTGCTCTATTAAGTAAGCCATGTTAGATCAAGAGACACACTGCTCTCCCATCCTGGGCTAAAGTAAGGCAATCAAGAGAAAAATCACTGGAGCAGATTACCTGAGTTACAGCAATACCAAAATAACGCAAATCCTGCAGCAACACTAAAACAAGCAAGGAAGAACACCGGACCTAAAGAAAATGGAAAAGGAAAAACATTACAACAGACCAGAGCAGTGGAAGTTTAGTTCTGTTCATAAATCATTGATTGCTATTAATATGCATAATTAAGTGTATTCAAATGAAGCTAGCACATTCACAATTATGTACGTTCTGTAGCTAATGTACTATGAAGCACATTTACTATAATTAATTTTTACTACAGTCGCTTTGACACCATTCTCCATTCACCTCTGTTCATCTAGCTATATCCTACGAAATTTAAGTGAAAGCTTCCTTAGATGTTTTCTCGCTCTAAAACTTTGTGCAAAAACTCCTTTAAACAATACAAAAAAATACCAACCAGACTACTGGGACCTCACCACACAGCGTAACATTTTACTTTATAAAGAGCTCTGCTGGGCCAATGCACTGCCTGTGGGTTACAGTACATTGTACAAGACTGCAGTCTCTTAGAAGCAGATTTTTAGCGTTTTGTTTTTTTCGCCACAGATGTTCCACAAATTCCATTTTCATGACAAGAGCAAATATTCTTGTTCCTGTTTACAATTCTGCTAAAAGGTGAAACGCAGAGCCACATGCACACCTAAAACAAATCTCCCACTGGAAACATTTCCTTCATGTGCCTGCCTGGAATTACATACAGTTTAATGCTGATGTTCAGTATTGATGTTCAGTAAAACCTTTCTAATTCTTACTTATCCACAGACAAAACCCCATAAAGATTTATATGTGCTCCTTTATTATCTAACATTGTGTTTACTACAATTAAACTGCATCTGTCAATTTAAGGGCAAATGTACTGCAGACTGACAAATCAGTGGAGCTGACTGCATGGACAAGCACATCAGAGAAACAGCAAAGGAGCAAGGACTTGGCTGTTCCTTCAGCTGTAGCCTCCCAACAAGGGTGGCTAGCAGCCGGACAACCTCTGGACTGAGGCCAGGTCTTTCATCAGCATAAGTAAGAATTGAAAATATTTAATTTTCTTATTTCCAAGCACTTTCTCTATTCTTCCTCTACTGTTATGCTGCAGTCAGCAACAGCAATGTGAAAAATCCGAATAGCAATTTGGTTCAATATTTAAAGTAACAACACCACAGGCAAAAATATACATTGAGTTAAACTGTGGGTTTGCCCCTCATTTCAGTTTTCTGTCAGGGGAAAACTGGCAAAAAGACATCGTTGATGGTGCTTTTATTCTCTTAAAATTGTATCCAAATTTCTAAATAATGTATCAATTAAACTTAAATTATAAAATAGTTCATTATAAATTTTGAAAATTCTTTAGCTTTCTTTCAGATCTTCAATTTCTTTTCACGCTATCTTTCAGTGAATAAAATATTTGCCTCTAATCTGGTCACTGAACAGAGAAATGGGAAAAAAATTAATGTTTTCCTAAAAAAAATATATTTAAGTTCACCCTTGCTCATCCTCCTTTCTAGTCTTTTTATTGAAAGCTTTAAAAAACTGAAAAGTTTTGAAAGTTATATAAAAAAAATATTGATGGCCTTATGCAAAATGACAGCAGAAGCAGATGAATAGACCCTTCTATGCAAGCATTGAAGAAATCATAGGAAATTAAGAATTTAGCTATAAGATTGTAAGTAAAAATACCATTGTAAATATTAAACTCTACAGTCTCTTCAATTTCATGGCACTGTTTCCCTCAACAGCAGTTCAGTACTTTTTCCTCCATTAATTCCACTTAACTTGTGACAGTAAAGACATCATAAAACAAACTATTTGTTACATGAAATGCAAATTACATGATAAAATAAATTGCATCATAATCTGAAAAGCCATTCCATCCGGTGACACTGTATGCATTTATTTACCCCTGTCATTTAGCATATATGTCTCCTTGTCAGTGTCTATCTCTGTGGAATCTGTGGTTTCTAGAAATAAAAGCAACACATGAAAAGTTAGTACTCAGCTCAGGCAAACAAACGAACATACTCAGCACATGCAAAATGGTGCTAAACAACGCATTTCAGAAAAATATCCAATTTTGACATAAAATATTAACCTCTCCAAAGGTAAATCATTGCTATAGTTACATCTGGCTATATGTCGATCAAAAGACATAGGCACAGAGCCATCTGAATGCAACTAAAATAGCTGCAGCAACATCTCTGATCTGGTCAAGCACTAACCATGTAAGTAACATTACACTTGTTTCCCAAGTGAGGAAAGCAGGAGCTAATCCTTCCATAATGCCAGAAGATTTTATTGTAATAAATACAAACTATTTGTTAATATATGTGCTAATCTGAAAACACCCCTATAATTTAATGCATCACTGTTCTTTCTGTTCTTCAGTAGATATCTGGGCATGAATATATCAGGCAGATGAAGCACTTGAAACAAACTGCTTGGCAGAGATTATTTATTTAAATTCTGATCTCAGCTAAAGACATGGACAGCTTCTTTCAAAGTCTGTAGGTACTATGTGCTAACACCCAGTGCAAAAAATTTTTGCCTCTATCTTTCTGCAAATTCTAGAAGAGAAGGAGCTTGACCTTAAGACAAGGTGTTTAGTAGTTAGCAGCAATAAAGCAGTTTCTGCTTTGAACAGAAAGACTTGCAGCTCTTTTAGAGGTGCCTTTGCCATATGAACATGGAGATAACATTGTCTGCAGAATATGTGAGCTGCACAGAACACCGCTGCCACCATAAATGGCAGAGGAATGACTTTTCTTTAATGTATTACCAATTGCAAAACAACTTTCTTAGTCAAAACTCTTTATGTTCAAAAGGAAAAAAAAAAAAAAAAAAAAAAAGCAAAGAAAGAAAGGGAGCACTCCAGATTTGGCTGTCAATAGGGAATAATTTGAGACTGTTTGGTTTCAACTGATTTCCTTCTTCTACATGACAATCTGGACCCAAGTGAGGAGCCTTGGAAAACTGCCCAGTACACCAAGTCTGCAAAGGGGACCTTCTGTCAGCCAACATTAGATAATGGTGAACATCCATCTCCCACACTAACCGCGTCCCTCTCGGTGGGGTGACATGGTGTGGCATTCAAGCAGAACAGAAACATCTGAAGCACTTTGCTGCAAAGCCTGAGAGTCGCTGAAGCAGAAAGGATTGCTGCACAGTATGCACGGCACACTCGGTGCCACGGAAAGCTTACAGAGCCTGCCTGGCCAGAGGGAGGTCCTCCCTACCTACTCTAGCTAAGAAATCCTCACACTTCACAGGAGAGCGTATCCAAAGCTCTGCACTTTTGTCAGGCTGTTGCTGTGTGGGGCTGATCTGATCCTTTATCCTTTTAGTCTGTGTCAGCACTGAGAGAAATAAAACCATCTTCTGAGTCACTGGGAAGATCCTGTTTGGCTTACAGCTCTGAAGCTGCCCATGCTGTGTGCCTTACCCACCCTCTAGTGGGAATTCTGAGACATTACTAAACATTTCACTTGCAATATTATACTTGAGGCAAGGAAATCTTGTTCTAGCAAAATTTTAAGGTTGTTTTTAAAATTAAAAAGAAATCTTTGAAAGGATTTCCTCCGTAGAAAACATTTTTCATATGTACAGCTGCATGTAATCTATTATAGAAATCTGCCTGGCCAGCTCATCAGTGTCCTCACCAATAATTTCTCCAGGTGTATATAATGCTGCTTGTTTCAGTTCAATTTAGAACAAAGTCCCCATGTTAGGGAGTTCCCTTTTTCCCCTCATGTTTACAAATTCTATTGTCAAATCAGTAAATGCTCTGTGCTAAATTTGGCACATTTAACAACTACTGCTATGAGTAACATTTGAGTAACATAAAATTTCACAGGTTAGAGGTCTGAAGGATAATGCCTTTAATATTCAAAATGTTCAAGGTCACTTAAATGAGAGATAATACCTCATATTGAAAAGGAAGCTTTTCCTGAAGAATAAAGTTGGGTTTGGCTTTAGCTTAAAATGCTGCACAGATGTTGATTGACCATTTAATCCAGAATGCAGACGTTTGTTTTAGTTACAGAACTCATAAAAAGCAGCAAACTTAATAACACATCTCATTATTTCCTTCTCAGGTCAATATAAAGAAACTGCAGAATCTCAGCACATACTAGTATTTTAACTCAGTTATTTAAATTATTCTCATTGTTCTGAGGATTTTAACATAAGAGAGTATACCAAGATACAGAGACTTTAATGACTTATGATGCTTACTGGAGTCCCTTTGCACAATGCAATAGGAGCAAAACAGTTTCAGGCACCACAATCAGCTCTATTTTTTCTGTGAAGCACTTCTAGCACATGTACTTGTTATGCACAGTCTGAACATGAGAAGCCCTAACCCTGCCTACTCATGGGGCAACCCATGTAAAACCTCTCAGAAGTAGCCACATAAATCAGGTGCAAGGAGGAGCAGATTTATGCTCTAGCTAAAAGTGAAAGGATCATGCAGACACCCTACACAAGTTTCCTTTCAGCTGGTTTGTCCAGATGTGACAACAGCATGAGACAGTGTGAGAGTTCATGTTCACAATATCTGCAGAACTTCCAATGTTCACAGCTCTACTATTTCTAGTACCCAAGTGAATTCAGACCATCTATATGGGATGTAGTCAGGCCTTGGCTACAGTGTACATGTATGTTAAGAGACATTTTCAAAAATGGCTTGTAGAAGGTCTTACTGAACATTAATAGAGCTTAAACTCTTAAACCATTAACACACTCTTGAAATTTTATTCTTAGTGACTACACTAAGACTTAATAAGTTCCTCTTAATTTATAAAGGCTGTCTGCTGCCTTCTAGTCAGCCCTGCAGAAAAACCTGTTGCTCTTGAGCTCTATTCGAGTGAAAACAATAGATCCAAGGCTATTGGATTTAAGAGCCTGCTCCCTCAAAAGGCATGACTTCTGCAAGGTGAATATCAGATTGAAAGCACTGCCTTGAAGCTGCTGTGAGGTTGAATCAATTGGGATTTGTGCTCATTTGAGATTCTGAGGTACGGATGGGCCCAGACTTTCCCTGTTCTAAATGGTTCGGGTATGGATGTGGAGACCTGGTGTAACTTTGCAGCCTCCCTGGGCATGCAGGAAAATGGTGCAGTCTTCCACTGGTACATATCCGTGCTGGGTACCTATAAAACTTTTCCTTCAAAATGAAAGATGAAACAAAGCTAGACAATGCAGTATCTTCAAAAGTAATTACCATTTTACATTTTCACTCCAGAAACAAAAGAGGTCAAACTGTTTTTTTAAAACCTATGGACTTTTGGTGTAATGGTTTAAATCTCACTGGAGTTTGACCCACATGTCTGAAATTTCCCCTGGCACCTAACTGTGGAGTTTCTTACAACTATAAATGAATTGACCAGTGAAGCATCAGTGCTGTTAGATACTTTGTAAGAATGTCTTGAACTGCAGTCCCTTTGCAGCTTCATTAAGTTAAATGGGGGAGCTTTCCCTCAACCTCAAGGCATTTCAGTATGCAGGATGCCGGAACATATTTCCCAGCCATTTGGAACACTGTTATTTTCTCCAGTTTGTTAGATGAGAAAAAAATTTAAAAATTAAAAAAAGAAAAAAGAAACACCAACACACAGTAAGCATTACCCCAGGTTGGCAAGTCAGGCTTGATACTTTTCCTTAAAGAAATGAGCTCTTTTGCAGTACAGAATCAAATCTGTTTGAGCCCCAGCCTTTCTCAAGTACATACATGTATATTTGGGAGACATCTTTATGGACATCAGTCAGGCCCATCATAAAACAAGCCCTAAGTGATTAACATCACAGTTCAGCATTGCAAGGGCCTACGAATATTTGCTTCATGTTAAACTACGCACAACTAGGAGATTTATGGATTGAGGGGAAGCCAAGCTTCTGGGCCATCAGAGTTTTGAGCTTAACAAATTTGAGCTTTGTAATGTTCTTATGTTCTACAAGTCAGAATAAACACAGAGGAAATAAACAAGCCATTAAGAAGTAATGATTATGGAAAGAGAAATTGTACTTCACAGGAGATATATCGCTGTCTTACATGTTACACTTAAATTGTTTTAAAGACATATTTCATATTTCAAAACAATCAAAGCGTTTTGGATTGCACACATTAGTCAACAAACAAACAAGAACTATGCAGTCAAATCCCCTTCAATCCCCTTCTAGGAAAATTCCAGTCAGAAGGAATTAGGGTATACCCCCAAAGTTACTTAAATAACCTGAACCTCATCTGAAATGATGTTTAGTAATACTTTGATGAGGAAATCCGCAACTCCGTCAACTTACTCAAGATCTTCCTGCTTGGCAGGTCATTATACAGCTGTTCAGCATTGATCTGTAGAGCTCTGTAAAACTCTTGACAGTGTCTGTCTCCTTTCTTTTGAAGGTGCTTTATGAGATCTGAAAGTCTGGTATGGAGTAATGCCTTTGGATTCCTGAACTGTAAAAGAAAAGCACTCATCAGAAGAGAGATTACAACAGCTGGAGATCAATTTTACATGACTTTACAGTATGCCAGGGAGTGAAGATATGGAGCCTCTTTTATATTTGCTTAAAGAATGGGCCAAAAAAAAAAAAGGGAAATCTAAAAAGGACATACATGCATTGCACAGTAGTCTTCAAGACACTGAGCTCCATCTGGTCAGCACTGACTGAGGGAGAGCATGTTGCCTCTGCCTTCCCTCATTCTTTTTTCTGACCTGATAAAGTGGCAGCTATTCCACATTTGATGTTTTCTCTGCATTCAAACTAACATGATACTTGCTATACTACAATTTGATTTTGACAACTGGTGATAGAAAATATCAACAAATCTTGTAATAAAGTTTTATGTTTTCAAGTTTTCCCTTAGATGTCTTGTAATGATCACCCAAAAAGGTACTTTATACTGCTTATATTAGTCCCACTATTGGAGTGTACATCATCCCAAGATTACATGTTTTATTGTTTCCAGCACAATTAACTGCTGTGTACCCAGTGCAACATGTATGAATTCTCATTACTCAGGCAACATGGCAAGCAGCTGCAGAAGAAAGTACTTTTTTTCTGTAGCCCAAGTGTGATGAGTATTAGGAGACCTTACAAAAAGAATAAAAATGCGTACTTAGCCTGACACACATCAAACTGATTTCAGTTTATTTGGAAAACATCCAAAGCCACTCTCAGCAAAGCATTGTATTTCAGACCACTACAGTAGATAACTTTTGTAGTATACTTAGTTAGGATCAATTCCTGCTCTAGGGAGACAGAAATGCAACACACCTTATACAACACTCTTTACTATGACAAAATCCCTCCAAGGTCTACCAGACAAAGCTGAGACTGTAAGCTTCCTAAACACTCAGAGTTGCCAGAACTATGCAAAGGCGGTTCATTTCTGTCTCCTAAGTGCAGAAGTCACAAATTATGTTTCACAGATTCTTTATATATTTATTTTGAAGCTCTTGAGGGAATGAGATTATCTTTAATTGTGCATGTCACACTGTTTATCACAACTGAGTGGCTAGACTGGCTCAGCTGATGATCTAGCACTGCTCTACACCACCAAAACACCATTCATCCACACACAGTTTGGTTATGACAGAATTAGACCTATTTTTCTTAATGTTAAGATAGGATATGCCAGAACCCTGAGCCTTGTGCAAACAATGAAGTCAGCAGAGGGCAAGTACAAACTGTTGTAAGTAGGATCTGGGAAGCTTTTAACTGACTTTAACTTTCACTCCACACAAAGTTAAAATACCGTTCTCCCTAAAAACAGCTACTCATTTTTGAAAGCTTCATGTCAGGGAGGGTGGCCCTCCTTCATACATAGCAGCACCACTGGAAGATGTTTCTAACTCCATCCACTTCCCACAGCTCCCACACTTACAGGTGGGACTAATGCCCCCCTTCTCTACCAATACTCAGTTATTAACACATTAATCAGATTAAGCTAACAGAGATGATGTTGTGGACACAGCTGGCTGCAGCACAGATCATCCAACACAACACTCCAGGCAGGCTCATGTGAGGGGGCAGGCATGCAGGGCATTTGGTCACCCAATGGGTGCAGTTCACCAAGCAGTTCTAGAGCGTGTCTTTGCATGCACGGCACAGCCCACGGCATTGAGCTGCTGCTGAAGAGGGGCTGTCTCTCATAATCACTGGGCACAGAGAACACACCAGGCCTGTGACTTCTCCGATACAAGATCCCAGATACAACTGGTCAGCAAGTAAGAGGTGAGGAAGATTGGCTTCATGTGGCACACCAAGAGTCAAGTCGGGAAGAGGGCAGCTGAGCTACTGATCCGCAAAAGAATGCAACATTCAGAGATACAGTAAAATTCATCAAGTTACCTTTTCTGCTTCTGCATTTGTAAGAATTTGGGGGTAGACTCTGTTAAGCTGAAGAATAATTTTATCAACCACTTGCTCATTCAGTCGGCTATTGCTTGTAAGAAAGTACATGTCGTGCTGCAGCCGATGACAATACGACTGATCTAGAGAGAAAATAATACAAAGAACAAACCACAGCAGTTAATTAGCAAGTCATTTAAAATCTGTAAATTTCATTTTCCTAACAGTGGTTAACTAGCTAAAATAAAATTACCACCATCATGTAATTTTAGAAAGCTCAACTGTCTATTAGGGAAACACAGCACAGTCGCACGCTTTCAAAGACCCATCCACTTAAAATTACATCTTAACTCCTGGCCGGTCACTTGTGCTGCCTCTCTCTTTCCAAAGGGAGAAGGTTCTAAATTATTAAGATGTCAAGCACTGATGGATATCTAATCAAATACAGTCCTAAACTTGTCAAATCACTGAAGATAAAATTTCTATCATTTATGAAGACAGATTATGGAGTTTAAAAGTAATGTGTTTTACAATTTTTTTGATGTAAATATATACTTCACAGAGAGAGGTTCTCTCTGATGTAGAACGGTAAAAGGACATATATTTGGCTTCAAATTACGTACATTACTGACACCGGTACACAGCACAAGGCTGGTCTTTGCCTGCTGATTAGCACCTGAGGACTGCAGCACAGTGCTTGCATAGCCAGGCAAAACTGGGGGCTGGCTGAGCTGGAGAGATTTGGCCCTAACTTCACCCCACCCTCCAAGAGTTTATTGCTGTCTTTGGTCTAATGGGAGACTTCAGCAACTTGCCCAGCAGAAACTGCCCAGACTGAAACAGAACTGGAACATTAGGAACAGCATCTCTGCCAAAGAGCCATGAAGTCTTTTAGGGAAGGACTTTTGCCATCAGTTTGCATAGGAGTGGGGAGGAAGGGCACTCAAAAAGCAGTACATTTTTACCATGGAATTACACTCAAATACACGTACAAATAAACCACATCTTTTCTATTAACCCAAACTCCTGCAAATACACAAATCCAGACTTGCTGTTGGTTTAGGCACCATTTCCAATTTCACAGCAATGCATTTTGAAGCAGCACACTTTCCCTATAGCTGCTTGTCTATAGTCCCTAGATTAAGATACAGGCACAGAGCGGCTCCACAGGTTACTGTGCCCTTACCAGATTTAGAAAAAGAATGTCTATGACCATGTCTGAAATAAGTGTTAACATGTCAGTACAGCACTTTATAACTGAGCAGCATAGAAAACAGAATCAAAATACCACCACCCCCATCACATTCCCTGTTTAAAGCAAATGCATAGGTTTTATGGTATTTTGCTACCGGAAAATACATAACCATCAGCCCTTTGTGCCCTGTAAACGAATGAAGAAAAAGAGCCAGAAAACTCTGGCATGATGCACTGCACCTACACACAGCCCTTGCCCCTTCTATATCATGATTGGGTTTTTTGTATTACACTGTTCCTTTTCTGTATCTGTGAAGCATTAACAGCATTTACAAGAAAGGGGTTCAGGAAAATCTAGTTGACTATCATGCACTAATAACTTCTCCAGCGCCAGTGTCACTCCTATTCAAACAGGAACATACCACATTTGAAACTGCAGAGAGCTGTGACTCTACAGGTACAACAGGATTTCAGTGACATTTTTACCTTTTATACAAACACCATATTATTTTCATGTGTTTCTAATGCCTCGTTTTTCCATGGCTCACTGTCAAGGCAACTTTACAGTGTACTGTCAGAAACATACTGGCCTGACAGACTTGCTGTGCAACTCCCTTTTATTGCAAGAAGTTCTACGTTATCTGATTCAGGGTTGAGATCAAACTTCTCCTCTTCAAATCAACTCACTGGTATGCACAAAAGGCTGAGGCAAGGATCAGGAGACTGAAGTTGCTGGGAATGAAGTGCCACACTCCCTGCAGCCTTCTCCTCCTTCTGCCTCAGCTACATGATTTGCAGTGATTCTGTGTCACCAACAACTCTGTACCTTCTGCAAACTTACAAAAAAAAAAGCATTAAATTGGGGTCTTACAGCTAGCTGAGCAATTAAACTTCAAACAACACTGTGACATTCAAACAACGAATCAGCAAGTGCTAAAAGCATGACAAGAATCCGGCAGAACGAGTATACAAAGTAAAATAAAAGCAGGCCTAAAGTGTCACCTCCTTCCCTGCTTCTTGCTCTGCTGCTGCCTTGTTATTACGATCCCGGCACAGGCAGCATGCAGCAGTTACACCGCTGAAGTTAACTGTGACCAACCGAGGATCGAATTTCAGCCAAGATCATTTTCTCAGCAGTCAGGAGCACTCCATATCCTCACGGTACTTTTCATTTAAACACACTCATTAAACCATCACCACTCTTACTGGGGGCTTTTTGCTGCCATCTGAAACCTGCATGCAGGTGCACAGTATTACAGGGCATAAGCCTCTCAGAGATTTCAGGAGTGGCCGTTTTCTTCCCATCTAAGCCAAACGGCAAGAAGAAAATGAGACAATGCTCTTGGTCTCTCTGGCTACTGCTAAACTGTGCCTGCCAAGGACAAGGTCTTAGGCCTGGCTCAGGCATCTGCAAGATGCTTGTTCCACCCTATGGGATGCTCCATTTTTAAGAAGCGCCATGAAGTATGTCTGCTTCCTCCCCATTCCTACAGAGACATTTCACCTGCCCGCACCTTCACCTCCTCCAAATTACAGTATTTAGGATGGGGTGCAATGTTTAAAATTTCCATAAGAGCAGTTATCAAGCTCAACACACTAGCTCTGCTAGCTTAATCAGAGCAGAAATATCTCACCCTTCCAGTATCTCACTTCCCTCTTCTGAAATCTTTCGTCTCTCCTCTAACGCTGAGAAATCTCTACCCAAAGCACTCAAGGAACTGCCTTCAGGCTTCTCATAGACCAGAGAAGTGAAACTTCCCACTGACACCACCCACCACTGCAGAATTGTGCCCCAGTTACTAAATTTAAAGAAAACAAACCAAAAAAGCCCCACCAATCCTAGCAGCTGGAACATGGCACCCTGCTTTGGAGTGATAAGGGTATCTGGAAAGCACAGCATGTGTATTGGAAGCCAACACACAATGCTCCTGGGCCCAGCTTGCCCCAGGAGCTCCGGCAGCTTCGTTATGGCACGGACTCGCTCCCATGCACTGTCAGTCATGGCCCAGTTATAAACATGTTCATGCTATGAGGTTTTATAATCACCGTTCATGAACAGCAGCTTTTTAATGTTGAACATGCCCATTATTTACATTTTAAAGTAACAGAAACCCCAAATCAGATAACTTCAGGACTGCAGCAAGGTTACTGATGTGCTGTCAGGTCTTCAGAATTTGGGGAGCAGCCGTTTGGGATATTTTGCATATCATTTTGATTTTACTCTGCTGCCTCAATGAGATGACAGTTATTGTGAGGTAAAATTTGACATCTTCATGCTAAGAAGACTTTGTTTTTAAGCACGTGTCACACCAGCATCACAAGCACAGTTGTGCTGCTAGCCAGTACTTGCCCAGAAAATTCAGAACAGCAAAATCGGGAGAACAAGTCAATTAACCACAGTTTACAGGGCAGGCGTGCCACTGCCAGTCATTTTAACGCCCTCAGACTGCACAGGGATTGCACCTAACTCCGAATTGTTAATCTGATGTTACTGCAGTTACACCTTCTCCTCCACCAGTATGTTAATTGAACTGGGCTTAATCCCATCCACAGGCTTTGGACCCTGCCACAAATCTGCCCAAGCATGCAGCTGCAGTGGAGGAGTCTGCAGGTTTTGACACAGCTGGAGGGCTGGCAGTGGACTGAGCTCAGCCTCACTGAAGAGACACAGCAAATACAGCTGAGATTGGGTTCCACCTCACTGAAGCTGACCTAAAGGTTGCTTAAAAAGGTCAGTATTTGCTCAGGGAAAATAAACTTGTCAAAGTGACTGACAGGAAACTCAGGAACCATCTTTGACAGCTGAGAAGAAAACATCACTAATAATTTCATGTCATGATTACTCCAAGCCCACAACACATCATACACAACTGCTTTTTTCTCTTATCCAAAGTACAAAAGGCCTCTGACATACAGCATACACACACCATGCTAACATACACAGCCTGCACCTGACCACACACACAGAAGCAACATATAGTGAAGAGATATCAGAGAAAAGCAAGAGATTAATGGTTATTTGTAGTCAGCAGCTCCTCAAACAGAGTGTAATATACATTAAAATGGTGATGATAAATGCACAAGCAACAAATGACTGTAACTAAACAACACATTCATCATTTTTCATTTTTCACCTGCAGGTAAAAATCACCCCCACTGCAACTCTTCATAAAATGACACATCTAAACTGTTCCTTCCAAATGGGCAATTAGGTTTCTGGCAATAGATACACAATGACCCAGCCATTATACTAAGTGCTGGCATTTTAAGGCTGCTGAAATATATTCTGGTCTTGGAAGTAACAATGCCATAAAGTGCCAGACTGACTTCTACTGCACCTGCAGGAAAAATGTCAAGGGCAACAGAGCCACCCTTCCCAAAGCTCTTCCTAATTTACCAGAAGAGTGTTTTCACAGAGTTTTTCAGAGACAGCTCCTAACACAGGCACTGGCATACCAGACCCTGGCTGCCTCCAGGACGTCAGACAAGTGCTGTGGCATTGGCACTCTTGCTCCATACGCCTGTGGTGAGGCATCCAGTCCCTGAAAGGTGCCACTAGCCACCAGCACAACACACTGATAACACAAAACATAACTTTCAGTTTCCAGTGGCTGTCAAAAACCCCTTTGTAATTTTAAGGCTGCTTAATTATTCTTACCATAAGAGACTCCACGTTGTTTTCTGTACAAGAAACATTGAATGGGATTTTTTCTCTCACCATCCCCTGTAATCTACTTTTGCTGCCCTTCTGGATAAAACCACATGGGCCCCTGGGACCTGCTGGGGTCTGCATTGCCACTTCATGTTTATTACAGTAAATGAAGACATCCAGCTGCATTTCAAGTTCATAGGCTGCGATCAGGCCCTCCTCGCTATGCTGTGACATATCATCGCTCTCATCCACACTTGGGCCCTAGGAGCATAAATGCTGCCAACTGCCTTAAGTCACGCAGGTAGACCTGTCCGATTAATAACTCCACCAATATTTACATAAGGACTCTTGATACTGTCTCTGACACTAGTGTATCTTTATTATAGTTCCATCTTTTATTGTTTTCCCCCTTAAAAGCCTCCTTTAATTTACCAAGCAATGAAAGGATTGTCACAAGCAGATACATTTAAATACAACAGACACAAACCCCAACACATTCCTCTGACATTCTCCATAACACACACATAACTCGCAAACATCCAGCCCAGAAACCTCAGTGCTATTTGCTGTGCAAGAAAAAAACAAGTTGCAACTTCCTGTAAAACTCCTGGATGATTTTCATAAAAATTATAAAGGCAAGCTGACAACCAAAACCTTGAAAGCATGTGACCTGCCATTTGTATGTGTCCGTGCAAACTCCCTGCCAGAGCATCACAAGAAAGAGCTGTCAAAGTCTCTCAGCAAACATAAGCTTAACACTAGTTTAGGTTTTGGCTTTTCCCTTTCAAGAGCCCGAGAAAGAGATGCTGAGGATTTGAGAAGGAACCTGGCTGCACAGACGGTGATCAGATTGCACTGGTTACCAAACGCACCTCCTGGGCTGGAAGCAGCGATACAGCGGTGAAAGCCAACGTGACCCACTCCCCAGCCACACTCACCCACTGCCACATGCTGGTGCTACTGGCAAGTTAGTAACCAGAAATCGAGAGCCTTTCACAGCACGTTCAGTAACTCATCTTTATCTGAAATATCTTTTAAAAATAGAAAAACTAATAAAACAGTGAGCAAGATATTAAGGTGATCTCGATACTCAGGCGTGGCACTAGTTCACCACGCTCCCGGTGCTCCGAGCTCCGCACCACGCTGGCGCGGACCCTGCGGCACCGAGGAGCTGGCGGGCAGGTGCAGCGGCAGAGCCCTGACGAGCAGAAGATGGAGGCCGGGCGCCAGCGGCAGGTTCCTCCCCAGTGCCACAAGGCGGGCGGCTGCCGTGCCA